TGGATCTTCTAGGCTACAATAAGTTGTCATAATCTATTCCTGCTGTACTGCAATGAAGTTTTGAGGGAATGACTTATTTTTGGACACAACATTAAGATCATCCAGCTTTACAAAAGACCTGCCATGGTGGAGGTGAAAACTGCTAGAACCGATGAGTATGCCCTTCAATATTCCTAAGATCAGTGTGCCACTGGCTTGTTGACATAAGTCAGCACAACTGATTACATTAATGGACTCTCCTTGGGACAGCTTTATTTTTGTTGTTGTTGTTTAGTTGTTTACTCATGTCCGACTCTTTGCGGCCCCATGGACCAGCGCATGCCAGGCCCTCCTGTCTTCAACTGCCTCCCGGAGTTTGGTCAAATTCATGTTGGTCGCTTCGATGAAACTGTCCGACCATCTCATCCTCCGCCGTCCCCTTCTCCTCTTGCCTTCACACTTTCCCAAAATCAGGGTCTTTTCCAGGGAGTCTTCTCTTCTCATGAGATGGCCAAAGTATTAGAGCATCAGCTTCAGGATCTATCCTTCACAGCATTAACCCAAGCATGCCACTGTACTCTGACCCCTTGCCCTCAACTCTGATGACCCTCAGTCCTCAATCCCATCTCCTCCACCCAGCAGAGGTGAAAGCAGTGTAAGCTGCAGTAGCAAAATGCAGCTAATGAGCAAGGCACTGGCCATGATGTGCCTGTTCCAGCCACATGGCCAGGCATGCAATTGGCACCTTTTAATTAGCTGCAATTTACTTCTACAACATGACTGGCTCCAAAGAAAAATCCCAATAGGATCTGGCCAATTTTTAGTATGTTCCTTCCCCATAACAATCAATGAATGTTTTGGGGCAAGTTTAGAGCTGCGTGGAGTAAGTCAGCCAATCACAACGGGGGCCATAAGGCCCCCCCCCAGGGCCACTTGAGACATTTGAAGAGGGCCACAGACCAGAAACAGTTCTCCACGCACCACCTTTTAAGGTTCGTTATGCAACCTATAGAACCCTGATTCGGCCTATATTTCTTTCCAATTGTGTTTCTGGCTATGGCAAAAAAAGGGGGGCTAAGAATGGCTGACGTCTAGACGTGGCCCACTGTTAGTCTTCAGATGGAGGGAGTGTGTCTTGTGACTATTTAATCAGCATGTATTCAACTGCTCAACAGTTTAAAAAAAAACATGCAATCCATTTGTCTTCAACTATAAATCATAGTCGTCCATAGAAATTTCTAAGGTAAAACATATTCTTTGCTCTTATGGTCTTACACTGTCTGGGATAATTCACACACTAAGCAACTGATTACAAAGAAAAGCTTGTAAGAGGGAAAAGTTCATCAACAACTGTAAATAGCCCATCTCATTAACATTCATGTTACCCTACCATTGTTATTTTAGCATTGTTAATTTATAACAGAGGTTCTCATATTCTTTACAGCCCAAGCTTCTATGAAAGACTTGCAGATCAAAGACACCAACAACTCAATGTTTAGCACCCACTAACTTTCTTACCAACCAGCCACTATCTCCGTACAGTGGTGCCTCGCTTGACGACGTTAATTCGTTCCAGTGAAATCGCTGTAGAGCGGAAACGTCGTCAAATGAAATAAAAAACATTGAAACACATTGAAAACTGTTAACGTCGTCAAACGAAATAAAAAACACTGAAACGCATTGAAAACTGTTCAATGCGTTCCAATGAGCTGAATATCTGCTCGTCCATACGGCGGCCATTTTCTGGTGCCTGTTAAGCGAAAAAGCCTTCCTAAAAACAGCGGAGGGGCATTTTCTTCAGCCGGTGGCCATTTTGAAACCCAACAATCAGCTGTTTGCTGATCGTCGTAAAGTGAAAATTGGTTCCCGTAGCAGGGAACCGATTATCGCAAAGCGGAAGAATCCCATTTAAACCATCGTTTTGTGATCACAAAAGTGACCACAAAAATCTAATCGTATGGCGATTTCCTTGTTAAGTGAGGCAATCGTTAAGCGAGGCACCACTGTATTTTGATATCTATACTTGGTTGCCCTGTTTAAATATTTGCCATGTTATATCTCCTTTTCTTATGTCTGATGAAGTGGACTTGGCCAGGAGTAGTTGGCAAGAGACTATGGTAACGTGCTCTGTATTCAGGAGTAGTAGCCATTCTTCAGTCTCAAGAGACTATGGTAACGTGCTCTGTATGGTCTTGGAACAGCGCCTAGTGTGGCTGAGGAGGCCAATTCCAGAGTGACAATCCCTTCCACACTGGAGACAAATACAATCCGTCTGCTCACATTAAATATATAGAAGACAAAAAGAGAGGAAGAGTTAGAAATAGTCATGAATTCCCTAAATAGACAGAATCCTAAGCACGTGTGAGACACAGCAATCTGCTCACATTAAATATATAGAAGAAGACAAAAAGAGAGGAAGAATTAGAAATATCTCTGTCATGAATTCCCTAAATAGGCAGAATCCTAAGCACGTGTGAGACACAGCAGCAGATATGTAAGCTTGAAATTCAACTGTCCGAGATAGTATTGTGGTAGCCAAGGAGAGACACTTAGCAAGAAAGAGCCCAGACAACAAAATTCTGTTTTGCTAGACATGAGTGTGTGCAAAATACTGAGAAAGCAGCTATAGACCTTTCCAAACAAGAAAAGCTGGACGTCCACAAGTAGCT